GTACTCACAACTCAGCACTCACAACTCAGCACTCAGTAATTAGCACTAAGTACTCACAACTCAGCACTCAGTAATTAGCACTAAGTACTCACAACTCAGCACTCAGTAATTAGCACTAAGTACTTACAACTCAGCACTCAGTAATTAGCACTAAGTACTCACAACTCAGCACTCACAACTCAGCACTCAGTAATTAGCACTAAGTACTCACAACTCAGCACTCAGTAATTAGCACTAAGTACTCACAACTCAGCACTCAGTAATTAGCACTAAGTACTTACAACTCAGCACTCAGTAATTAGCACTTAGTACTCATAACTCAGCTCTCTCCACTCAGTACTCAACATGCAGTACTCAGTACTTAGTAGTCAGCTTTCAGCTGACTAACAAGTATCATTTTTCGCTCTCTTGAGTGGGTCAATCAATATTGCGGTCGAAATGAGAGGCTCTCATTTATTATTATACCCATTGTATTACACTATTTAAGATTATATAGTGTATAAGCTGACTTCTTACTACTTTAAATAATCAGCTCTCAGGATTCAGGATTCAGCACTATATAAGTATATATTTTGCTGAGTTCTCACAGTTAAGTAGCTATTAGCACATTACTTCGATTATAATAGCCGCCTGCTGACTCAGTTCGATGATGGAACTAAAAGCTTTTAAACTCTGGCTCTTTGCCAGAATATTGTTGATTAATCTAAGCTGTCTACTTGTTCAAGCCACAGCCGATATTTTAGCAAGTTTTATTCATTGATGCTCCAATGATTTTTATCGTCTTATTTCCGCAAGTGACTTTAAATTAACTTGCCGTTTTAAACTTTTAAGATACATTTTCCTTTCATACGTATTTATTCGTATGAAATTGTTAAAAATCTAATAAGATTTACGTTATTCCCACAATGCACTGTATATATTATATGCACTATTTACTATGTATAGTAAATATACACTAGATGTACAATGTACAATGTACACTAGCTGAAAATGTACATCAGTACAATGTACAGCGTATACTAGATGTATAATGTACAATAACCTCCCTGAGTGAGAGTACTCTTAATACTTTAATATGACACCGCCTCATTTTCAAAGTCCCAGCTACCATTACTAATTCCCAATCTGTTACGTAATTGTTGCGATCATAATCCTTCTTCCTTCGTTGTGTTTGTGTGGAATCGTTCGCATATTAATTAATCCAATAATAGTCCAATAATTTCTTTTTTGTCTTGAGCAGATCTCGCTAAAGATGGCAAAACCAATTTATCCCATTGTTTCTTTTCTGTTATATAGTACAGGGAAATCCGTCTGAAAAAATCGATCTGCTGACACACGAAGCTTACAAAGGATTTTTGACGTTTTTGAGTCCTAATAGGTGCCCTCTATGGCTGACCAACTTTTCCAAACTTTTCCACGTGGCTTAAGGCCACTTTTTGCCACTTTACCACTTTTTACCACCTTTCTTGTTTGTCGAATATCTTTAGTTGTGAACATCGTAAAAGGTTGCGAATCAATCGAGTGTGTTCATATTATCAGGAAGAAAAACTTTTGTTGAAACAATTTTTACGTCAGATAATAAGTTAATTGGATAATTATCAATTAACCAATTAGCAAAATTCTAAAAAATTTTTATTGGCTAAAAATGATCGGAATAGCTTGAAACACGGAGAAAAGTAGTTTTTAGAAAAAATTTGAAAATTGTTCACTTACATTTTTTTTTCGAGACTTGGAAAAATTTCGAAAATTCAAAATATTTTTTTCCGCCAAAAGTGATCAAATTGCATGAAAAGCGGAGAAAAATGATTTTCAAAAAAACTTAGTCAATTTTTCGTTTCAAGAATACTTAAATCACCAATATTTGTAGTTGGAGTTCAGTAAATCTCGGCAGATTTTAGTAATAATCAGGAATTACTAACTATAAGTGGAAAGGTCTGAAACTGAAAAACGTTAAGTTTAACCATACGATCGCGATATAAGAGTTTCATAACTAATTACAATACAGCCTTATCGATTTTCACAGAAACTGCACCAATGGCACAGTCAAGATCGAAACGATAGCCTGCTGTACTGTCATTTTATTGATTTCAATGATGTGGCGTTAAGATAATCACATTTGTAATAAATAAAACCTCTCTGTACCGTCAATTGTGCTAATCTAAACCGGCCTACCTGTATTACCAGACCTCTTCTTTTCCTCAACAATCAAACCGAGTTGTTCATATCGCATTTGGTGGGTGATGTAAACTAAGTAGTAATACATATCGAGCTATATTCAATCACAATACGACACAGTACGTGTATATTATATGGCTCTTAATGAGGTTTATGAAACGCTTTATACCGTGAGAAACCCGGTATAGAGAGGTTTTACAGTTTATCACGAAAACGTCTACTTGGTCTCATGGCTCATTTACAGTTCGAAGAAGGGCAAGAACAGATCAGGGAAACTGAGGAACAGCCAGGTCCAGGAAGCAAGTGTAAATACACCTTCCAACAACTACTGTGACTGTTTTGTATTGTACTGCATACCGCTTCATTTGCGGGATACCTCAAATCACCCCCATATGTCAGGGTCGGCTAAAAGTAAAATCAACAAGGGTAACATACGGGAAAGGGTAAGATTTAGATACGAGCACAGTGTCGGGCAAGGGGTAGTAAAGAACCGGTAATAATTAATTCAGTGAAATGTTCCACGAGAGTCAGGATATTTTGGAAATTGCTAATAGAGACAGATCCTGATCAGGAAGGATTGTTAATGTTATTGAGGATGTTGGTTTGAAATCCGGACGTCGTGAAGTAAAAATACAGGTTCTTCCCGCAGGATATTCGGGGCCCATGATGATCAGCTCGGGATTAATGTGGGACAGATCGAAGACTGAGAACTGAACCCAATTGAACCTAGTTCCCACTAACCAATCAGCTTAATTGGTTAGGGTTAGGGTTAGGGTTAGGGTTAGGGTTAGGGTTAGGGTTAGGGTTAGGGTTAGGGTTAGGGTTAGAGTTAGGGTTAATCTAAATGTCTAAATTGGGTTCAGTTGTCCGGTAGCCCGCTCTTGCGAGTTGACATTCTAAGCTTTCTGGTCTTTTCTTGCCTTCTTTGAGCTGTCAAAGAGCCATGAGACCAAGTAGACGTTTTCGTGATAAACTTTAAAACCTCTCCATATCGGGCCTCTCACGGGAGAAACGAGAAGTGTACGGTATAGAACGTTTCATATACCTCATTAAGGGCCATAATATAATATACACGTGTTGCATTGTGTCGTATTGTGATTGAATATAGCTCGATATGTATTACTACTTAATTTACATCACCCACCAAATGCGATATGAACAACTCGGTTTGATTGTTGAGGAAAAGAAGAGGTCTGGTAATACAGGTAGGCCGGTTTAGATTAGCACAATTGACGGTACAGAGAGGTTTTATTTATTACAAATGTGATTATCTTAACCCCACATCATTGAAATCAATAAAATGACAGTACAGCAGGCTATCGTTTCGATCTTGACTGTGCCATTGGTGCAGTTTCTGCGAAAATCGATAAGGCTGTATTGTAATTAGTTATGAAACTCTTATATCGCGATCGTATGGTTAAACTTAACGTTTTTCAGTTTCAGACCTTTCCACTTATAGTTAGTAATTCCTGATTATTACTAAAATCTGCCGAGATTTACTGAACTCCAACTACAAATATTGGTGATTTAAGTATTCTTGAAACGAAAAATTGACTAAGTTTTTTTGAAAATCATTTTTCTCCGCTTTTCATGCAATTTGATCACTTTTGGCGGAAAAAAATATTTTGAATTTTCGAAATTTTTCCAAGTCTCGAAAAAAAAATGTAAGTGAACAATTTTCAAATTTTTTCTAAAAACTACTTTTCTCCGTGTTTCAAGCTATTCCGATCATTTTTAGCCAATAAAAATTTTTTAGAATTTTGCTAATTGGTTAATTGATAATTATCCAATTAACTTATTATCTGACGTAAAAATTGTTTCTACAAAAGTTTTTCTTCCTGATAATATGAACACACTCGATTGATTCGCAACCTTTTACGATGTTCACAACTAAAGATATTCGACAAACAAGAAAGGTGGTAAAAAGTGGTAAAGTGGCAAAAAGTGGCCTTAAGCCACGTGGAAAAGTTTGGAAAAGTTGGTCAGCCATAGAGGGCACCTATTAGGACTCAAAAACGTCAAAAATCCTTTGTAAGCTTCGTGTGTCAGCAGATCGATTTTTTCAGACGGATTTCCCTGTACTAATATTTTAAATTACACTTTACATTACACTTTATATTACACTTAATATTACAACTAACATTACACGTTGTCCCCCCCGGCCCCCCCCCCCCCCCCCCCCCCCCGCCCCCCCCCCGGCCCTCCCTTTAGTTGCTCCCAGATTTATCTGCTATTTCAAGAGATTCACTATGTAGATCCGACTTTACTCTACGTTATATTGCGTGTGTAATGTGCATATTAGATGATGTAACGATACTAAAGCGATTTATTTAAACATCACGATAAGTAAGCAAGTATAAGCTTGTAAGGCTCACCGTTGACATTATTTTATTTGGAATTTGGGAATTGATTCATCCGATCCTTTAAACTGATAAAGCTACTAGTGTAACCCGTGCCTACGGCCGAGACTTCACTATTGCAGTTGAAATACAAAAATTAAACGCTAAACTAAATTAAAGCGTTTACTATTTAAGTATTAACAATTAGACGCGACTATTCATAGTGGATTTTACCTTGATTAAATGTTTGTTTTCCCAACAAAATCGTTCTGTTAGCTGAAAGTGGCAGTGCAGTGCCGCAGTAACTACTGTTTACTAATGTACTTACGTGACCCTGGTTATTAGAAACACCCATAAAAGTTCGTTTATTGACAAAACATTTAAAACTTCTGTAATTTTATTTCTGTTTTAGTTACCCATTTGATTTTTGATATGCGTATAGAAAATCGCTACGGCTTTAAAATGTACTGATGTACGTTTTAACAAACATTCCATCAGACATGTCGTTTAAGAGGGTATGTATGTTCCTTATGTTCGAGGTGATAGTGACTATTCCCACTGCTATCATGATCTACTGGCTCCTATCTCTTCATACTGATAACTTCACTGGAGATAACATGCTGTGAGTCTTTTGTTATTTAGTTAATAAATATATTTATTTGTTAATTTATTCAAGTAATTCAGTCAAATATAATTTTAGCTTTTTCTGTGTGGACTTATATAGTTATAAATTATATAAACATGCTGCGAGTCTTAACTTAGATTAATCTTAGATTTTACTTTCATTATTCAATAGGGCCTGATTTGTCTTTGAATTCCGCTATATAATTTGAATACCCGCAGAGTGTACCTACACGGAATAGTGATGATGTTCGCGTTCACGTACCTGCTCGCGCAGGGTATCGCGCTAGTGCGCGTGTGTCCCAGTTCTCGGCACTGTGCCAGGATTACCCACTCCATCTTCAACACTTTGTCTTTACTGTTTGGTATTGCGGGACTTATCCTTATCATCAGCTACAAGTCTGAGAATAATGTGAGTTTTATTTTGGGTCACATGGGTAATACTACCATGGTTACACTACAACTCACATTATCATGGTTACACTACAACTCACATTACCATGGTAGCACTACAACTCACATTACCATGGTAACAATACAACTCACATTACCATGGGTAACGCTAGTAATTTTCCAACTTTCTTTATGGTTGTTGGCACCGGGATAAAGTTTTCGGGAATAAAATATTGTTAGACACAATAAATATAACAGAATAGTATTACAGGTTATATATTATGAACATCATCATTGCAAAAATAAAACCCAGTCCATGGGACTGAAAAAATTAGTTGACTTTCGATTCGAAAGAGTTAAATTCTAAATCATCCATGTTAGATAATTCGTAAGTTTTGTTTGAGGTATTTCTTGATCCTCTAATACACAATAAAATTAATTTCCTAATTAAAAATGATAATTTACGCCGATAATAATTTATAATATCGTTGTAATTCTGCACAATAAATTAATTAGACACAATAAATGCGCTGTATCAGATGACTCCTTCATAAATGTATCAGATACAAATGTAGTTTTAATAACCTTTTAACAATTTGTAATAATCTTATAATGACCTTTTAATATAACTTTTTAATAACTTTTAAATAATCTTTTAATTACTTTTAAATGATTTTTTAATAATTTTTTAATTACTTTTTAATACATTTTTAATACATTTTTAACAACTTTTTAACAACTTCTCCTCAGAAAACACATCTCTACTCACTACACAGTTGGTGTGGAATTCTTCTGCTCTTAATTCTAGTGATACAGTTTATGGGGGGTTGTATTGTGCTACAGTCGTGTTGTAAAGGTCAGTAAATATATTCTTGTTTATACTTTTATAGTGTCTAATCATTCCCAGGTAATGATAAATCTGTAGTTATGTTCTCTTAATCGTATACTTGGGGGAGGGGGCGACTCAAACTCCGCTTAGAGAAAGCCGAGCTAGAGATTTGTCGTCTGCTCTATATCAGAAAGCCGAGAGCTGTATATTCTCTTCATTGCAGATACTCCAACATTTCATCGTAATGTGTTAGCGTGTATTGACTTATAATAGTCGCCGTCTTTTAATTACCATCCTTAATATGAAGGAGTAGAACTGGATCAGTAGAGAAGTATGGAGGGGGGAGGGGGAGGGAGGCAGGGGTTCAGAATATAAAATCAATACATTCTTACAGTCGTGCCTTTTTATCTATCAGCCGCTGACTGAGATAATTTGTTATCATAACTGAATTTGTAAAATTGTGATTTTGTCAGGTGCGTCGCTGAAGTCGAGACTGAACTACGTTCCAAACCATGTTGCTATGGGAACAGCAGTGTTGCTGTTAGCAGCAGTTTGTGTAATTAGTGGAGTTGTTAACCTCAAGGTTTGTTTCTTTTTTAATGCTCACTTCTTAAGATATTGATTGATTTGTTATTTTAGTCCTTTCTTAAATTATATTAAAAAGTTGGGCCTTATCCATCCTTATCCATATCACATTCGTCTTATCATTGTGATTCTAAATGTGTTTTGCTAAACCTTAGTCTTTACCTCTTGCCTTATTCTTAGATGTTCTTGATTCTTGGTGCTCCATAAGTCAAAAGTGAACCTTGCGGTGCGACTACGAAATCACAAAATGTAATAGTGCAAAAATTATTATCGAATAGAATTAGCTTGAGAAAAAAAAAGTTGACTCGCAACTTCTAACATTGAGGCAGTAAAATCATCCTAAAACTCTTGGTTGCTGAGACATAATTATAATTTTAAATAAATAAATATTAATAAATAGTCCATAAAATCTTTTGCTCTGAGACCTGGTTTAGATAACATTCAGTTACTTTGTTTCCAATTATGTTAATTTTATACAATGAACATGTAAATTGTAAACACGGATCTATAGTAGTGTTTACATTGAACAGGTTGTTAACAATCTTCCCACTTCGGGCGAGGTTGACATCTACAAATTAATCTCAAAATTTAACAAAAAATATAAGTTGTGAGTTATTGTCATAATATAATATATACAAAATATATAATATTTCAAATAACCACAGAAGAGTATATCACCGGGAGAACGCAGCGGCGTTCCTTCAAAAAGGAAACATAATAAACCTCTCTCCGTTAGTTTGCGCTTTAATACTCGCGTTCGCCTCACGCTTTATTTGGGTTAGCTGCAAAGTCTAGTATAGTCGGCAGTCGCCTCACGCTTTATTTGGGTTAGCTGCAAACTCTAGTATAGTCGGCAGTCGCCTCACGCTTTATTTGGGTTAGCTGCAAACTCTAGTATAGTCGGCAGTCGCCTCACGCTTTATTTGGGTTAGCTGCAAACTCTAGTATAGTCGGCAGTCGCCTCACGCTTTATTTGGGTTAGCTGCAAACTCTAGAGTGGTCACCTTTAATACTCGCCTTCGCCTCACGCCTCACGAGGGGCTGCATAGTTATTGAAGCAATATGGTGAAAAAAATCATCTTTTATTAGCCATGTTATGATTTAGTTCAACCACTTTAATAATTTGTATTTTCACGGTGTGTTCACACAACATTTTAAGCATTTTTCTTGCAGCACATGGCTTTAAGCAACTTTGTAATGCTAAGAGAGAAAGTTCTGGAAAACTATCAAAATTCAATAATTTCTGGGATTAGTTGCAAATATGTTTACCACTGATCGGTGGTAAATAGACGAAATAAACATTATTATAAGCCTGACGAATAAGGACGCCAAACAAATAGCAGCTGTATAATGCATTCTTATTATTTAACCTTAGCTATCTGAGTCTCAACTCACTATATTATATTGCTATATCGCTGACTACGCACTCTTTTAATTATATTAATTACAAAATTGCTAGACCCATCTCTTATCGGCACACTTCATCACGCAACATAATATAACTAGATTTGGTTAATGAAAATAACAATTATTTACTGCCAGGAGTATATAGGGGTAGCTCGGCAGGAAGATAAGAGCCTAGATTTCGAGAACTCCCTGCTGAATCTCATGGCAGGCTCTGCTCTCCTCGTCTTTGTGATTATATTGTGTATAGCTGTGTCGCGGAGATCCCGTAAAAGCGGGCTCGGTTCTGAGGAGTCAATGGGAGGTTTGTAGCTTCTTTTATAATATTTTATTTAGTGTAATCTATAGAGACTGTTACACAACATCTCTGTTTCTGAACCGATCCCCTTCGACCCCAAGTGAATTATACCAATTTTGAATATTTATACATCTATACTCCGTAAGAATTCCCAATTATCAATATGATTGGTTGTGATCTACCCAAATTGTACATAGCACTGTTACCATGGTGACATGATGCTATATATAACACTGTTACCATGGTAACATGATGCTATAAATAGCACTGTTACCATAGTAACATGATGCTATATATAGCACTGTTACCATAGTAACATGATGTTATATATAGCACTGTTACCATGGTAACATGATGCTATATATAGCACTGTTACCATGGTAACATGATGCTATATATAGCACTGTTACCATGGTAACATGATGCTATATATAGCACTGTTACCATGGTAACATGATGCTATATATAGCACTGTTACCATGGTAACATGATGCTATATATAGCACTGTTACCATGGTAACATGATGCTATATATAGCACTGTTACCATGGTAACATGATGCTATATATAGCACTGTTACCATGGTAATATGTTTGTAGAAGAAGAAGTTGTCTGGCCTCATGTTATCATAAACCCCGGGAAAGAAGCATTTGTACTTGTCCCACCCACCAAAGGTAGCATGTCTTGTAACCATAGTAACCATATGTAACATCTCTTGTTACAAAGAATTACGCAAATCCTGGGAATGTAACAAAGAATCAAAATACTTGTATTCATTCACTTGCAAGCGACTTACCAGAAATTATGAATATTTTCTTGTTGATGATCGAGTTCTGATTCAGTTGTATGTTAATATGATTACTTTTGGTCGAAAAGGTGCTCTGTTTGACATCTTGTTTAATATTTTACTGTTGGTTAAGTGTCTCGTATGAAACTTAACTATGAAGGAACTGCAGTATGAATCCCGCATTTTACAGAACAAATCCCGTGATTTGCAGAACAAAACCCGCGGTTTATAAAATTCAGAATTCCTTGCCAGTTCTGTGCAAGTTCTGCTGTCGCTATAACTCTATAACTGTATAATAGTTACCATATGACCCGGGATATTATGCGTTGTTTCTGTTGACCAACTGAGGTTTGTACTAAGTTGACCGCATTAACCTTAGTAACCATAGTAACCACAGTAACCATAGTAACCACAGTTACCTTAGTAACCATAGTAACCATAGTAACCATAGTAACCACACTTACAGCAGGTAAGCTAAACTTTAGAGACGGCTCCTCCTCGGCAGCGCCTCATCCCAGATCAGACAAGTACAGGAATGAATCCAGTGTCAAGTCTAAAAACATCAGTGAAGATACTGCTTACAGGTAAAATTAGTGAGGGAATCTTACTGGTTCCGTTGATAGCAAGTTTGTGATGTATTCCCCAGCATAATAGCAACTGTCATAGCGACCGTCATTACTTGAACATGTTATATTTCACTGAAACCGTTTTCTGATGCACACTGATCAGTGATTTCAGTTCGGGGCCGGGTTCTGCACACCCGCACAGCGAGAGATCTCTCTCCAGACCACGTGACTCAGAATCCAGACCACGTGACTCAGAATCCAGACCACGTGACTCAGAATCCAGACCACGTGACTCAGAATCCAGACCACGTGACCCAGAATCAAGACCACGTGACTTAGTGGACCAGGCTGCCATGTCACAGAGGAGAGACGTTGAACCTCCGCAACCTAGGAGAGGATCCGCCAACTTGCCTCGCAGAGATAGGTAACACTATACAGGCTCACGTGGGGTTGTTAATTCTATGGAGGAGGGGATATTTGTAGGCTTCGTTTGTACTTGGGGGATCAGATAGGGAGATAGGGACGGGGGCATCGTATGATGAAGCTGAGTTGTTTGTCCTTAGAAACCATTGTGACAGTGACACCAAGGCTCTACATTTGATGACTGTTGACACACATCTTGTTACAGTGGTCACAGAGACGGTGGACCCCACTCTCCTATAGGACCCCACTCTTCTCCAGCTCCTCGGCTATCAGACGTAGATGGAGAGCCCACTTCTCCTGGCAGAACGAGTCTCAGATCACAGAGGTCTCAAAGAGACACTTATAGAAACCACGGTTAGTTCGTCAGAGCTTTTGTAAGATTGGTGATATTATATCTTAAACTTAGTGTGTCGTAGTATCTGCGTCGAGATCTTAAACCGAAATAACGGAAGATGATTTTAGTTTCTTCCAATTAATCTTTTCACTCCTGTTCCCATCTATCTCTACTATAATTCAGAGAATTCTTTCTGCTGTCTGTACGTTCACTGTACGACCGCCCACGTGCAAATTAGATGAAAAATAGGAAGTTGCGTAGTTACCATAGTAACGAGGATTGTTTTAACGTCATTTTGATCGGTTTTGTGGTAATTACTAATTACGTTGTGTTCAGTGCGAGCTACATTTTATTTGGTTGTATCTTCGGTGGGGATGAATACTTTTTGACACGATTAAAACTGACTTCCAAAGAATACTATTAGGTTCCTCCCTGTGACCACGGGTTTTCTAGTACTATTATAAAATTAACTTCTGGGTAATACTTAATTCTATCAGAACCAGCCACGTCTCCAACAGTCAGGAGTGATCCGAGGGACATGTCTCGTCGACCTTCATTTCCTCCCGTCACTCCCGGACATTACCCCCAACGTCACCCCAGCTCTGGTCACCAACCCCGTCCTCCTGTTCCAGACTACCCCAGATCCGATCCTTCTTATCAGTTACCTTATCACGAGCCACCTCTTGACCAGTCACGTGATATCACGGCACGTGGTAACCAGGGAAACACACTATCGTCGCCTGATATTCCGCCCCTTTTCGAGAACAATGTGTCTCATCTCCGGTCATCCAGAAGGGGGGTGCCACCTCCTCTTGACATGTCGCCCCCCGTTCAGTTCGCTCCTGTTAACGTTGTCAATCCCTTCCCGTCTCGTTATGGTGGACAGGTGATACTTTTTATGTATTTTAATATTTTGTTTATAGAATATATGTGAATAAGTTTTTAGAGTGTTTTGATTTAGTTATGAAGAAGTTTACCTGAAAAATATTCTAAGATCGATAGCTAATATAGCATAAAATTGCCATAACACCTTCTCCTTTTCCAGAATTATAAATTATCATCTCTTTATCAGGCACCCCAAAACGAGGACCTGAAACAGTCACCAATGTACAGTCCTGACCAAACTCCATCTGACAGATACAATCCTAGCTACCCTGACCAGCCCTCCAACCCGCTGATCCAACCCGCTTATAACCATGACAACCCGCAAATCCAACCCGCTTATAACCATGACAACCCGCAATCTCCGCCCTACAGCCCGCAACAGCAGACCACCACATTCAACGCCAGACCCCCCGGAAGACACCAGGTTGCCAGGCAACACAGGCACCAAGTTAGGCGAGCTAAAGTCGAGAAGGTTTCATTCTTGTTCTTACTACTAAACTACTAGTTCTTTGCAATAACATTTTAACTGCATCAAAGTCCAAAGATATCAGCTCTACAAGCCTCTATAAAAATGTATAATGTATAATGTTTAATGTATAATCCTCCCTGCTCAGGCTAACCTAAATAATAAATGTATAATGTATAATGTTTAATGTTTAATGTTTAATGTTTAATGTTTAATGTTTAATGTTTAATGTTTAATGTTTAATCCTCCCTGCTCAGGCTAACCTAGAGTTAAAACGACCGGTCACACCTCCTGCTAGTTCTTACACGGACTCTCTGGCTCCTGCTCGAGTCAGTACCAGCCCTCTTCAGATATCCTCTCCTGAGTCTATACCGGACGTTGATAGTTCTGTTCTCAGGTACGTGCGTGGTGTTTTGTTTGGCTCTGGGTCACGGATTTTAACCAGCATTTATTTATTTGCCTGCGAACGTTTGACGTGCTCTCAATTTGTTGAACTCGTTTAACCATAGGTCCCCTGGATCCACTGCTTATACGGACATTAACGTCCCGATTCACTATTTCTGAAATCCCTCCCTCCCTCCCTCCCTCCCTCCCTCCCTCCCTCCCTCCCTCCCTCCCTCCCTCCCTCCCTCCCTCCCTCCCTCCCTCCCTCCCTCCCTCCCTCCCTCCCTCCCTCCCTCCCTCCCTCCCTCCCTCCCTCCCTCCCTCCCTCCCTCCCTCCCTCCCTCCCTCATTCCCTCCCTCCCTCCCTCCCTCCCCTCCCTCTCTCCCTCACTTTCTCTTCTTACAGTGAAGATGTAGATGGTACAGCTCCAAGGCGAGGCAGGACGAGTTATCGCAATGCAGTGAGAGATGATGCTCCCCCTCCCCTCGTCCCTCCTCCTCCGCAACAGTTCGAGATGATCAGAGGTGGTTCTAAGGACGATGATCAGGGCATTTGTTGGTTATAGTTTTAGATTTTTATCGTGAAACCCTCATTTAGTCAGTAGCAATATCTTATTAAACATGCTGGTAGATGTTTACAATTTCGGAGGCATTTTCTTATTTTATATTATGAACTTTCATCAAATAGTTGAATATTGATGCGTTTGTAAGTTGTATACATAGTTACAGAAAGGTGCGTTTTAGGACTGATACACGATCACTATTACTCAATTAGTGAAATAATTTCACTTTTAGACGTTAGTGAAATCAGTCGCACAGAAATCGAGAGATAAATTGGTTGATAACAGTAGGAAGAACATTTCAAATTTGAGAATTATTATCATTCAGATAAGATAAACACGTTTAAAATGCACAATTGACAGTATGACATAGAATTTGTATTTTATTCCAATTCTACCATCACAGCTTATTCCACCAATGAAAGTTATTTATACGCTTTATTATATATAAATAATGAGATATTGGAAAAGTAAATTACAAATATTGTGGACAACGATGTATATTATTGTTGGCAATTTTTGGTCCAACTAATAAACAATGATATTTATATTACCTCAAAGTCAATGTTTAAATTCGCATGTGTCGCATATTCACCGTTCGTTGTGAAATAACAACCACATTATACATTTGCTCGTAGTAATATTTCCTGTTTTATTTTTTGTCCCTAATCCTACGGTACGCTAATTATTACACAAAAAGCCATAGCTGCGATAAGAAATGCGGATTACGAAAGATGTGAAATGATATGGACGCGCACCAATTCGATCTCAGAAACCATCCTAAAAGCGGTGTCAAATTAGTTTATTAGTTAATTGGCGAACGGTCAACTCCCGAAATTATGCTTAAAGTTCAATCATAAACAACGCTTGACAAAATATGGTAAACAGTTTTTAAAATTCTTAAAAATCTGATCCACCACCACCAGACTTAAAACCAAAAACCCTGCAGATAGCTTCAGCTGAGTTTGTGTTGAAACTATCGTCACACACTGTCCCTCCCTTGTATTATAGGAGTAGTCCAGATGTAGCTGCTGTGTTTCCTTCTTCGTCCACTAAAGCAAATGGTAGGGTTCAACGAGTGCCTGAAAATTTAAAAGTCATAGAAATAACATTTTAAAAGATATACATCACAATGCTGGCAAGCATGACCGTGCCTCTTATATTCACAATACTATTTACCCCCTTTATTATTTACCCCCTTTACTATTTACCCCCTTTACTTTTATAACCCTTTATTGTTTTTCGGGCATTAAGACTCATCGATGATCGAAAGTAGTTCAGCAGGTATATTTAAGTTCAAATCATTCTAATTCAATGTTAAAGATGGCACGAACAAGAAATAGTTATGTGGAGGTTTTTAAGAAATTTGCGCAAAATACGCGCCAGCATGTTATACGAAATTCGGTAAAAAACCCAAAATTGCCATATTCAGGTGCCTTAAAAACCATGTTAAAATTGAGTTAGAGATCTGAAACTTTGCAGGGCGTCTAGACGTTGACCAAATTGACTGTAAAAAAAATTCGTGTTTCAGGAGTATCGGGAAATGGGTTTTCTGGAACCCCTGTTTTACGATAGATAGTCGTGATACATAGTAATAGTCAGTGTAATAAGCGCCAAGCGCGAGCACAGAATTTTTTTGTCCGAATATCGTTTGTATGCTTTTTAAAGTGTGCGGGGGATACGGAAGCATCGAAAACCACCGGGTAGCAATTTTCACTCGCTTAATTTGACACTGATATTATTTTTTTTGTTTTTGACTGTCAATGTGTAAAAACGTTTTCTTACCATCATCCGATGAGTTTTTTGGTAAAATTTTGATACCAATATTTATCTCATCAATATGTTATGAGTCCTACACCTTCATATTATGAATTCCTGCATTGGTATGCGAGTTATTTCAAAATGAAAATTCCAGTGATCCGCGCTACGAAGAGTTCACGTTCAGATTTAAGTGTTAACGCATCAACTTTTTACATACAACTAATAAATTTGGCGCGCGCGCCAGCGCTAATTCGTCCAAAAAGCATATGGTTCTTATTCTCAGCAAACAACAAAATGGCGAACCTTTTCTTTTTGCAGTACGGCCACGATCCTTTCGGTCAGATTTTCTTGCAACATATTCGAAAAGCTCTCTCGTTATTTTCGCAACTCTTATGAGATCCAATACTATTTGCACCATGATTTGGTGAGTGACGAGTGACGACTGCCCTTCAGTAATTTCTTATTCTGACAGAGCGATATCTTTCGGAACGTTGTGGCATGAGCGCGTTTAATAACGGTTAAATGCCTAAATTATACATGAGCTGGTGCTCGGTGATTTTCTGAAATGGGCACTCGGTGCAATATAAGTTTATATCCAAATTTAATTCTAATTCTAATATCCAAGTCCGGTATTTCACCAGAATTTTATTATCAGACTCTAAGGACTTTAAGCTACAGGTTTCATGCTTATTTTTTCAGCTACTAGCTTAATTATCTACTTAAACCATGCTAAACTATAGTGAGGCCGGTGAGTAAAAGTTCAGAGCCATAAGTTTAGGTCTAACATTGTATCCAGTATGTATATTATACATACTGGATAAAATCTTAGATATACTACATCCGTAAAATAAGCAATTATTTATAGCTTGTATGTAAAATAAAAAGAATGCCTTCCTAGCAGTAACAGCAGCACAGAAGTCAAACTGAAGTTTAAGTTACATGTCTAATGGAAGAGGGAATTTCTCTGCTATTTTTGTGTTTTCAAAAATAAACGGCGCATTTGATTGCATTTGATTGAACTTAATTTCAATTAAAACATATGTACAGTCATTAACAGTCATATATGAAGCTCAAATCGAATATGAAGCTATATAATCAGACCCTAAATCGAATCGAATCGAGAGATGCTTTTACAGTTTAAAATTTAAAAGTTGAAATGTCTATTTTACTAGCAGTCAATATAATATTTGTTTCATACAACAAGACTTGCTGAATAGCAAGGTTGCGGCTGCTTTTTTTAATCATTCCATATATTTAAGTTTTATTCAACGGTGAAAAATGTACAGTCTTTAAGTCCTCTTCATTTTACGCCTCAAAACTGGTTTCTTTCTCATAAACAATTTTATCACATCATCAGATAAGAAATATTTTAAAAACCATTACTCATAATATTATATACTATGATTCGAATAAATTTATAACAAAAATACAGCAGATTTCCTTCTCAGTTAGATATCAGCAATAAATTTTTTAAGTTAAAATACGTTCCCTAATTTAGACGGTAACATCCGTCCAATGGTGTGAACGTTTGTCGTACTCAAGGCAAACGTCGAAAAAAGCAAACATTTGATTTTATTTCGGCGACTCCGAATCGTTATGGGCCGGCAAATATTTGTGGTGGAAGTAGTGTTGAAGACTTAATATTAAACATGTTTATATGATTTAAATTTAGGACAGTGTATATAAATTTCTTTGACCAAGCTTTAATTGTTAATGAGAATGCACCTGCAGCACTGGGCGTGCGCGGCGGCTTTGACTGTTAGCGGCTACAAGCTTTGAAGTAGGCAGCTGCAGAAAAAAATGCCGCGCGCGTTCGCGTGGGCTTTTCGTTTTTGATTTTACAAATACAAAGCAACTATTAATGATTATTATGGACTTATCGGATATTTATAATTCAATATGTATTGAATTCTTCTGTGGAAAATAAAAATAGTATTTTAAAAATTGTATTTTACCTTATATATATTGTCTTTGAATGACTTTCTACCTCTTTTGCATCAGCTATTTCTGCCTTTTTGCAGATCCAGTTTCTCGCCTTGACTTGTAGGTTTACAACCTACAGGACGCGGCCGAGTGGGACTCAGATATTTCGAGTATCACCCCGTTAACGCCTTGATCACCGGCCTGCCTCATACAGTCTTGACGGGAAAGCCTATTTCAGGTAGTAGAGGCTGTTGCGGGCAAATATCACGCTTTTTGCTCGAGCCCTAGTGACTTTTTTAGGGTTCTTATATGATAGATAGAGTGTATCTGAACACTTTGACGGTATCGGGAACCTTCTAGAGCTTCAGAAGCTGTGTTGTGAGCACATTACTGCCAAAACTTCGGACATCACAGACACGGAATATCGACTAAAAATTTTTTCAGAGTGTTCCCCTAATTTCTCTTAGGTTGCTTAAGCCTTAGAAAGCGCCCCGTCAGCATCGCAGCCTACATATTATAATATTGCAGATGCTATAGTGTGAGCGCCCCAGTGTGCTACCCGCCATTAGAGACCTCGAAAATCTCGACCTCAGCGCACAGAACGAACGTGGTTGCGCGTCGATTGTAGTGTTTACAATGGAAAAAGTGCACTTAAATCTGATTCGTTGCGCGCGCGTGACGTATCTAGCAGATATTTGATCGAAAAGCGCGACACTGCGCAGAAAACTATGTGGTTACCGTAACATGTAGAAAATAGTTATCACAAGAGACACAATAAACGTATATCACTATGCAAAGTTAATGTTAAAAAGTAACAATAGCCCTGCCTTTAAAGATTAATCCACATTAAACACTCTTTTCTACAGTCCGATCAGTAAATCGAACATGTTTTATGAAGATAAATCTCTGATAGAATTGTTTCTACATTGAAAAGTTTCCTGTGTGGCGCTGCATCTAATCCTCCGCGGCAAGAGTGCAAGTCTTTGTTTAAAGTATTATAATCTCTATCCGCATTCTATTGTCTGTGTGGCAGCTTTGATACGATCCTGCACTGTCGAAACAAACGTCTTACCGACATGTGTCGCTCGGCTGACAAACTGCTGTGATCAAGATTAAACATTGCTGGAGTTTTGCCGCGTTCTCAGATAAAAATTAGACGTCACATAGTCATTGTACTTAAGCTTCAGGTCAGACACCGAGGTACAGTTCTGGTAAAACATTCTCCTGGCTCCAGTTAACAGTCCGTATCAATACCTGCATCATTAATGCAGCTTGGTGTTGGGTGCGTTGGACACGTGTCTTTCCATTTTAAAACCTGCCTTTGAGACAGGTTTTAATCTTACAGCTTCAGATAATTTACCCTTCAATTGTTTCACCTCGAGTTGCTGATACATCAAACGACATGTTTTGTGATATCTACCTTGTTGCTATAGAGATATTTTCGAGACTCTCAAGTCTCAGGGTTAAGAACAGGGGCACTTGCTTCTCCGTGCCGAATCAGGATTAACACGATGTCTCGCACAGATCCTGAGATTTCTGTAGATGGTCCACAGATAGTATGTTGCGAATCGACGAAGAACACTCCCCCCCCCCCCCCTTATCTTTTCCTTCAATCAGACTATCCTTTTTCGTTTCTAACGTCTAGGGGAAATTCGTATTGTCAAAGAAGAATAACCTCTCATATTAAAAAAATTAAATCGAGATAATATGTATAATAATTATATATGCGAGCAAAAGTTTA